ACCCATGACAGGCTCAGGCCAGTGTTTGAGACCCTCTCTCATAAAGAACAAGACTGAGTTGTGCATTTTACAAGAAAATGTTAATGTTTACAGCCAATTGGTGGTTTTATTAATCTCTATTGACAACCCACTGGGAAGGGACTTGGATGCTTTTCCTGCTGGATCAGTACTTTATGCTTTCTGTAGGAAGGACTAGGTGCTTTATTGGTAAACGTGGTAAAGGTGGAACCAGCAAGCCAGAGGAGTAACTGAGAGTTGAGAAAAGAAACAAAATACAGTACTGGTATTTTAACACTAAGTCACACATATTAGTTATCTGGTGTATTTACTTGTAAATATTCAGAAACTTATGTGAATTTTTAGAACATAGCTGTAATTATACTGTCCACAGTCTTATATCCTGCTTTTTTAAAACAATGTAATCTCTCAATATTTTATATAGGTGTGATATATTGCATTAGTTTCTGCTTTTCTATAATATTTTTTTTTACTAAAACTGCTATGAACATTAGTTTACATATTTTTATATGTAGCACAGATTTTAAGTAACAGTGTGTGAAGTTTTAGGTGGATACTAGTACATATCCTAGTCAGATTTTTCTCATTTGTTTATTTATTCATGAGAGACAGAGGCAGAGACACAGGGAGAAGCAGGCTCCTTATGGGGAGCCCTATGCGGAACTTGATCCCAGGACCCCATGGTCATGACCTGAGCCCAAGGCAGATGCTCAACCACTGAGCCACCCGGTGCTCCAGATTTTTCTATTTACTTTTTATTGTGGGAATTTTTAACCATAGAGATAGGGTGAGTAGTAGAGCAGTCCTCTGTGTGCCCATCATGTAGTCTCACCGCCAGCTACTTGCTGCATTCTTGTATTTTTGTTTTTTCCTTTAAATTTTCCAAAAAAAATTGTAAGCATATCTTAATGCAAATTCCTGGTATATAATGTCATCCATAGTCTTTAGTTTATATAATATCTCCCAGATAAGACCTTTAAACAGACACAGCACCTGGATTGTGCCCAGTGGAATTAATAATCATTCCATAATATCCTTTATTACCTAGGCAGCAGTCAAATTTTTCGTGTCAAAAATGTCATTCTAAAGTTAATTTATTTCAATCCAGATACACTTCTCACGTTACGTAAGGTTATTTTGGTTAAAGCTTTTGTATTTTGTAGCAATAAAAAAAATCTCTCCCGTTTTTCCATGTCTTAGGTTTGCTGCAGAAATGAGGTCATCTGTCTTCTAGAATGCCCCCACATTTTGGTTTTAGCTAATGGCTTTGTGTCAGTGTGATTTAACATATATTGCTCCAGAATTTCCTTTAAATTGTGAGTCCAATCTAGAGGTTTGATTAACTACAGGTTCTTTTTTTTTGGCAAGAATGCTTAATAAACGGTGCTCTTTCCTCACATCAAGAAGAAAGTAGCACCTAGTTGTTCCACATTAGTGATGGGATTGAAAGTCACCTTAATGTCCATCTGATCTGACCATTATGAAGCTTTCCATCAACTCTCCACCGGGCTTTAGGAGACATCTATGGTTATTGTTACTTCATTAGATGTTGCAAACAGTTTCATTTTCTAATTTGATTGCTCACTGTTTTTATTCATTGTGGCTCCTGTACAGAGAGAGCAGTTTGCTCTCACTAGCACCTGGTCATGCTGCAGTAGTCATCCAGGAGGGGCAGGCTGGTGACAGTTTGTCTTTAGAAGTCTTCAGAAAAGTGAGTTGATATCCCAACAACCTCCAAAAGTAACCAGTGTAGTGGTGGCGTTCTAAACTGTTGTGGATTCTAAGGTGCGTGTTACCCGCTTGCTCTGCATGCTCTGCCTGCTGTCCACCTGTAGCTGGGAGAGCCCTTGCCTTCCTTTCCTGTTGGTTCTGTGCTGCGACCTTGAGCGTGCTCACTGGCTTCCTTGCTTTCCTAGTGCAGTGCCCCAGGTTCGTGTGACAGAAGCATTAACCAGCACTCTTGGAACGTGCACAGAAAAGATGAGGGAAGACTGAGGAGTTGTCCCAGTTAGAGGGGACTAAGGAGAAGTGACACCTGAATGTCATGGGGCCTTCTGAGATGGGATGTTTCATTATGAAGCAAACAAACATTTCTGGTATACAGGAAAAGGATTCTTTACGAACAGATCTGAGAGAACCATACTCTCCCAGGTGTTTAAGATTGATTAAACTTTACATGTACCTTTGACAGGTGAAATTAAAAATGTCTGGCCCTATATAGAGACCACAGGACAGGAGGCAGGGCCCTTTGACTGCATCTTTTTGCCTTTTCACATCCAGAGATGAAATCAGATAGGGGAAATAAGTCCTTTTGTTCAGCTCAGGAAGGCTTTGTGAGGGCTGCCTCTGACATTATCAGGTTTTCAAACTACTACTAGGTCTTATGCTGCAAATGCTTTGTTTTGGTGGTAAGTTCCCACCCCCATCCCCCTTGCGTATTTCTCTTTAAAACCTAGAGACCTGCTCTTCTGCGATTCCTGGAAGCAGTAGTTTAAATGGTTTAAGTCTCAGGGTAGGTTTGGTCTTTTGACCTAGTAATGAAAAGGTGGTTTTGTTATTTATTGAACTATTGTCACTGTTGCATCATCGTACTCTGTTTTATTTTAGATTCAGACATTTGATAAAGTCTCATTTAATACTTTGTACCTTTCGTGCTGCTTAAACAAGGTGGATATCAGTAAGCCCTCTTTCCAGCTGTAGTACTTTTGAAAAACAGTGCATGTTAGGTCAGTAATTAAGAGAGAGAGTGGCGTGACGTCAAGATGACTTGTTTGTGGGTAAGAGGCCTGCTGTGTCTGTTGTACTAGGACACTGCCATGCTACCTTTTTAACCTTTTGTCAGGGAACATTTAAAGCATGCAGAAGTAGAGTGGATCAGATTGTTAACCCCCATACCCCTCTTCCAAGGGGAGCAAATAGGAACTCCCACATCTCTGCCGCATGTATTATTTTGAGGAAAATTCTAACCACCGTGTTATTGCGCCTGTAAATAAGTATGCAACTCTGTAAGATTAGGCCTCTTTTTTTTAAGATGACCACAGCATCATTCTTATTAAAATATGCCATCACTGTGACTTCCCTGATTGTTGTTTGTTTGAATTGAATAAAGCCATACAACCAAATAAAGCAGTGGTTTGGCCAGTATGTGTTGAGGAAGCCAGGCTGCTTGTCTGGATCCTCCCGTACCTGGTACTCCTCAGTGCTCCTGTTTGCTGTAAGTTTGTAATAAGACCGCATCCTGGGTGTGTGGATTTTTTTTTTTTTTTTTTTTTTTTTTTTATTCATGAGAGACACAGGCAGAGGGAAAAGCAGGCTCCCTGTGGAGAGGCCAGTGCAGGACTCGATCCCAGGGCCCCGGGGTCACGCCCTGAGCCAAAGGCAGATGCTCAACCCCTGAGCCACCCGGGTGTCCCCCAGGTGTGTGGATATTATTTGTTTGTTTTGCAAGACAACTTCCTGGCGTTGCTGCTAGTTCTCTCAGGAGGCACAGAATCTCTGACTGAAAAAATACACGTAGTAGTTGTAATAAAAGAGATTCGTAATTGAATTTTTCCCGATTTTGGCCATCTTACCTAGTTTTTAACCAAACATTTTTTTGTTTGAGAATCTTAACAAATCTAGAAGTGCATAGTGGTAAAACTGTCTGTAAGCCCTTTTGTGACTTGTCGGTTTGGTTACCATCCCACGACTTCATTTCCTGGATTTGGTATTTGGGGAGAGTCGATGTTTGCCTCTATGATAGTTTCACATACTGCAAACTCTTACAGTTTAACACCTGTCATTCATTCTGTATTTTGGAAGACGTTGACCTCTGTGAAACTGATTGGTTTCAAGTGTTTTTTCTTTTTAAGCAGTTTATATAGCCAAACCTGTCTAATAGCACAGAAGTGATCTTGTGCTTTTGTGGCTGATGATAGAGTGGACCGTTCGATGAGATTGCTTTTGACCATCAGATTATTTCATTACAAGGGTTTTGGGAATTTATTATAAGCAGGTTATTGAGTGTAGGGAGCACCATTATAAAAACTAAACACCTGCATGGTTACCTCATGAGACAGAAATAGCTAGCTTTTAAATCTCCATATCTGGCAAGAGGATGCTCTGTTTTCAGAAGAGCCTGAAAGGTACCTGGATTAAATCCAGTCCTGGCGGTGGTGTGGCTTGCTGCAGAAAGAGGGTACACCAGAGTTGGCCCTGGGTATCTGGGAACCCTGGTTCTCATGCTGATGGTACAAAATATGAGTATTGTTTAGTCTCTTGTGAACCAGAGTTACTACTCTGTTTGGGAAAATCAAATGAGCTATCTTGTTTGACATTTAGTCTCTCACTGTTGAGCTGAGCCAGTACTTTGGAAAGCCTGCTTTTGCAGCACCACTCCTACTGTCTTCAAGTGGTTTTTGGTTTGTGTGGGTCAGGATTTTGAAGGGACTCCTTTTTAACTAATTACTATTTATTTCTCTTGACAACTGTTGTCCTGGAACGAAATGAAATTAATGGGGACAGTCAAAATGATATATGTAAATTTGGGATTCATCAAATACAAATTGGAGTTCTATTAATTTTGTTACTTTCTGTTTAAAAAGATGGTTTTCTGGCCATGAGTGGGTTTGTATGTGTTAGCACACAATTTCTAGTCTTACTATATTCTTGGGTTAATATAAAGGTGTAAATTATGGGCAGATTTCTTTAAACTACTTAGACTGCAGGGATGCCTGGGCAGCTCAGTCGTTTGGGCAGCTAGCTCTTGATCTCAGCTGGGCTCTTGATCTCAGGGCTATGAGTTCAATCCCTGTGTTGGGCTCCATGCTGGGCCTGGAGCCTCAATTAAAAATAAGTAAGTAAGTAAATAAACTACTTAGATTCCGGAGGAGCAACAAATGTCCTGGAAAACTTGAAGATTTGAAGACCTCCTAGTATTAATTTGAAGAATCTGTTGCATTCTGTACTACAAGTTACTGATGGGTTGTTTTGTTGTTTTACAGCACCCTACAGTTGCCATTCACCTTCTCCCAGTGCGGCCACAGAGTAAACAGCTCATGACTTCTGATCAGGACACTAAGGTCGTGGCTGAACCGCAGGGCCAGCGAGTCCAGGAAGGGAAAGACAGCGCTCATCTGGTGAGTAGGGGGCGAGGCCAGAGCTGGTCTGGGGCCTCACTCTGCTCTTCTGATCACAGATGTTATGTTGGATTTTATAAGTACCATCAGAGTAGTAACTCTGGCATATCTTAAACCTAAATACAGGTGTTATAGTCTGAGTAAGTTTATAGATAGCTTAGTAGTAGAGGAAGCTATCAGGACAAGGTGAGAGAAAACAAATGCTTAAAACTCTTGGGAGTTTAAACCCTCTAGAAAAATGACAGTGATTTATAAATACTGTAATAACATTACACATGTTCTAATGGTATGTATTTAAAAGAATTGATTAATATTGTAATATAAATTTTTATTTTGACTGCTTTTAAGATTTTATCCTGTCAAGCAAAGCAGATTTTTCTTAATTTTCCCCATGGAAATTACAAGAAATTTTGCCTACAATGGTCAGTCAGAATTTTAAAATCTTTTAAGTTTCAAGGCTCCTATATCTTTCTGCATATCTCACTGAATTTCTTTGTTATGTAAAAATGTGTTTTTTGTCAATAGGTTTTGTTTTTGCTAAATTACTGTAGCTTGAAAATACTGCTTACATTGTAATGAGGGTGCGTTTGATGTTTTCAATTTTACAGATGAATGGTCCCATATCTCAAACCACTTCTCAGACAAGCTCCATCCCAGCTTTGAGTCAGGTAATTTAGTTCAGCTGAGGCTCACAAATACTGCCTCACGAACAAATTTATTGTAACAAAATTAGAAAATTGTTGATGTTTCCCAACAAAGGGGTGGGGGTTGGGAGAGACCCACATGGGTTCTAAGTGTTCAGTACTGTATGTCCTCCTCTGACTTCTCTACGTGTGCTGTGTGTATAGTTGTGCTTGTATAGTTCTGCAGACGTTGTGTACCATGCGTTCATTGAATGTCAGATACTCATCACAGTGTTTGTAATAGTTCATTGATAATCTGTTGAATGTATATGATTAGCTCTACATCTTGAAAGCCTATATTCTTTAAAGTACACAGGTTATACTAACCTTTTATTAAGAAAATTGGTTTAACATAGTTAGCTGTGGTTAGTGAAAATAAACAAATGGAGATCCATTGGTTTTGAACTCTTTCTTTACCTTATGTGTACACGCTTATGTTGGGTGCGTTTGGAGCCACTCCAAACTTAGTTTGGCCTTCTAAATGATGTTATAGACCTGGCACGATTTAGAAAATAAAAGAAAAACTTTTAAAGTCATCTTATAAAATTATAGAAAACTTTGCCCAAATTGTAAGTAGTTCATGTAGAAATTGAACCAGGGATTGGATTGCTGATCTACTTTTAATAGAGTAGAATTTTTTAAATAAGGTAGAATTTTCTTGGTAGAAAGATCCCCTCCAAACTATTGTTATTGTTATAATATATGTAGGGCTTTTTGGTATACTGCATTTTACATTGATTTTTAAATGAATTTTGTAATATTTTAAGCAGTTTAAGATCCAAATATAAGACCTGTAGTAATCTAAGAGGAAAATTATACAGAAATCATTAAAAACATTTTTTTTTTTAGGACCAATTTTCTTCTTCCCCTTGGTTGATTTGCAGTCCAACATAATATTCAGACATCTCTTTAAAACAAGGCTAGAAACTGAATTTTTGATTCTTTGGGATTTTTTTTTGCCTGTTTTATTAATTTATTTGCAAGTATCGAGATAAGACCTAACTAGAAAAGAATTGAAACACTTGATCCAGAATTCAGTATTTTATTTCTGTACAGAAATAATTTGCAACTAGTACTGCCTACACACATGCTTTCTTTGTCATTTTTAAGAGTTAATGTCCTATAATAGACCTGATGTGGCAAGTTCTTGTTCTCGCCTTGATACCCAACTTGCCTGGTGTCCCTTGGGCAATCCCATCACTGACATGAGGCTTTTGTAAAATGTGGATATGCGGGCAGCCCCAGTGGCTCAGCAGTTTAGCGCCACCTGCAGCCCAGGGTGTGATCCTGGAGACCCCGGAAGGCTCACTCGCTGCATGGAGCCTTCTCCCTCTGCCTGTGTCTCTGCCTCTTTCTCTCTCTCTGTCTCTCATGAATAATTAAATAAACTCTTTTAAAAAATGTGGATATGCTGTTTAACAGTGGTAAATACCAGTGGGTGTTGCACACTTATGTTTTCATAGGATCATTAAATACTAGAGCTAGAAGATGCCCTGAGAGACATCTGGGCTTACAGTGTGTGTCCTTTAATAAAGCTTTATTTACAACAAATGAGCATCTTTACAGAAAATAAAAGAATACACACATTTTATGCTATTGTAATATATATATACACACACGTATATATGTGTATATGTGTATAGATGCATACATATATATGCGGATATGTGCATATATATGTGTGTGTGTATATATATGTTTATGTTGACCTCATTTTTTCCTACATAGCATGATTTCATCTACGTGCCTCCTTGTCCTTGCCATTAGGGTATTTTCTTTGTGTTGCTCTGCCATTGTTTTTCAGCCATTTGGTTTGGGGGCTTTTATATTGTTTATTTCTTTCTTGCCTTTAAAAATGGCATTGCTCTGAACATCTTTATAGCTGGCATCATTCATTGTGCGCCTGAGTGTGTGGGTGTGGTCGTTGGTTTAGTGGCTGCAGGTGTTTTGATGGCTGAGTGAGCGTGTCTAGCAGGCTGATTCAGGAAGCAGTCTCGAAGGTTCAGTCTTTCCCCCAAGCTGGATATGGTGTGAGTAGGAGAATTGCCATAGTGATGCCAAAATAAATGTCTGAATAATTTAGGAACAGCTTTGCATTTATCCAGTGGTAATATTAATCATATTCATTATATAGCTCTCCCACTCTAAACCTTACTGTGTAGTAACTCTTTATAACCGTGAGCATCAAAAAATTAATCTTTAGCTAGAGGAAGCTGAGACCCAGAAAGGCTTAAGTAATTTTCCCAAGATTACTTAACTGCAGAGTGGTAGAATCATGATTTGAACCCAGGCAACCTGACTTCAGAGTTCAAACTCAAGATGAGATACTTCCTCTTTGGCATCTGTTACTTCATTTAAAAAAAGAAACAAGTAGGAAATATACCCCAAACCAAAAACTTAGAATTGTCTCTGAGTGGATGAAATTATTTTGGAATAAAGCTGGAGGATTTTAGGTGGGGAATAGTGTGACTTATATTTTAGAAAGATTATTTTGGCTTTATTATGTTTTTATATATGATGGATTGTAGTGAGCAAAGAAAGCAAATAACAAGGAATGAAGGTTAGAAGTTATGATGGTGGATCAGCCTAGGAATGAATAATTTGAAAATTATTTTGAAGGTGGGTTTAACCATACCAAGTTGTGGATTGGATGTGTAGGTTGGGATGAAGGAAAGATAAATCAGGGATAGTTGAGCACCTTGAGGGATGGTGGTTTCATTTATTTTGAGATGGAAAAAACTGGAGAAGCAAAGATTTGTGGAGGGGAAATCCACCTGGTAGAAATTCAAGCAAGCAATGAAGTGGGCCAGTGGGGCCAGTTAGACCTCAGTGGAAAGGTTGGAGCCTGAGAGGTTTGAAGTTTGAAGTAAACAGATGTTTTATTACTTACTATTTTATAAATTTGTTATATAGAAAAGACTATTGAAACTATTGTAAATATGGATTAGGGTTATATAATTGAAAAGTGACTGAGTTAGTATTTGGAATAAAATCAACTCTAATCCTTTTTTTTCCTTTATAACTTTTTGCCTGTTTTAACAGATTTCATGTCCTGCATTGTTGGCTATAACGTTTCTCTTCATTGATTCATCCTTTTTTAATCACCTGTTTCACTTCTTATATATATTTGATTAAAATTTATTTTAAGAAATTACGTTCTATGTTATTTTTAAAAAGTGTTTCAAATGTCTTTGTTTTCTCTTAGAAGTTTTAAGATCCATAAGGGCAGGAAGCTTGTAATGTACTTCTCTGATAACTTCTCTGCACGGCATACTTTACTTAAATTGAAAAATTTCATAAATATTACTATGGCATAATTGATAGTTTAGTCATTCTAAAAACTTACCGTTCTTTTTTTTAAAATTTTATATATTTATTCATGAGAGAGAGAGGCAGAGACACAGGAAGAGGGAGAAGCAGGCTTCATGCAGGGAGCCTGATGTGGGACTCGATTCCGGGACCCCGGGGTCACGCCTTGGGCCAAAGGCAGACACTCAACTGCTGAGGCACCCAGGTGTCCTTAAAAACTTATCTTTAGGGGGATCCCTGGGTGGCTCAGCGGTTTGATGCCTGCCTTCGGCCCAGGGTGTAATCCTGGAGTCCCTGGATCGAGTCCCACATCGGGCTCCCTGCATGGAGCCTGTTTCTCCCTCTGCCTGTGTCTCTGCCTCTCTCTCTCATTCTGTGTCTCTCATGAATAAATAAATAAAAATATTTAAAAAAAAAACTTATCTTTATATCATATATTTGTGATATGTCATTTTTATATCGTATCTATATCTATCTGATTACCATAGGAATTACATATAACATCCAAAAGTTATAACTGCCTAATTTAAATTGATTCCTACTTAAAGTAGCATGCAAAAACTATACTCCTGTAAAATTCTCCCCCTACTTTGTTACTGGTGTCACAAATTATATCTTTATTACTGTATGCCCAATAATAGAGATGTATAATTATTTTTATGCATTTGCCATTGAAATCTTGTAGGAAATAAAGTAGAGCAGTGAATCAAATTAAACTAATACCAGCTTTTTATTTATTTATTTATCTATCTATTTATTTATGTATGTATGTATGCATTTATTTATTTATTTATTTATTTATTTATTTATTTATTTATTTATTTATATTCATGATAGAGAGAGAGGCGCAGAGACACAGGCAGAGGGAGAAGCAGGCTTCATACCAGGAGCCCGATGTGGGACTCCATCCCGGGACCCCAGGATCACACCCTGGGCCAAATGCAGGCGCTAAACCACTGAGCCACCCAGGGATCCCTAATACCAGCTTTTGTAATTGTCCATGTATTCACCTTTACAGAGAGCTTTATGTCTTTGTACAGCTTTGAGTTACTGGTCATGTTTTTTTCATTTTAGCCTGAAGAACTCCTTTAGCCTTTCTTCCAGGGCAGACCTGGTGTTAACAGACAAATTCACCATTTGTTTATCTGAGAATGTCTTAGTTTCTTCAGTTTTGAAGGAGAGGTTTGCTGGATAAGGAGTTCTCAGTGGACAGTTGTTTCAGCCCCCATCTTCTTAGCCTGTGAGGTTTCTGATGACAAACTGGCTGATATTCTTACCGAAGGCCTCTTGTACTTGACAAGTAGCTTTTCCTTGTTGCTTTCAAGATTCTCTCTCTTTTTTCTTTTTTTATTGTTCAGAGTCCTTTAATAATACCAAAATGAAAATATTATTGTTTTTTTTTTGACAGTTTGATTGTAATGTGTTTTGGTGTGCGTCTCTGTGTTTATCCTACTTTAAGTTTATTGAGGTTGTGGATTTGTAAATCCATGAAATATCATCAAAATTGGGGAGTTTTTGGACACTGTTTCTACAGATATGCTCCCTTGCCTTTCCTCTCTTGCTGGGACTCACATGATATGAGTGTTGGTCCATAGGCGACATAGATGATGTTCCAGAAGTCCAGTAGGCTCCACTCACTTTTGTCTTGTTTTTTTTTTTTTTTGTCTTGTTTTTTT